GCAAAGTCAAGGTCTCATTTAGTAAATTCAAGGCTGAATTTGGGCAAAGTCAAGGTCTCATTCTGGCGAAGTCGCGGTTTGACTTTGATTTTGGACAAAATCAAGGTCTGATTTTGGTAAAGTCGGGGTTTGATTTTGGTTCTCCCCTCGGAAATGTCGTTGATGGGGAAAATGTGAAAAAGGATGTAGTATTTGATGAAGTGAATGATGTTGATGAAATGGATATAGTTGCATGCGCGAAGACGGTTGGTTTTGTTTTTACCCCTTAACTTTTATACTAAAAGTATTATATAGATTAATGCTTTCTTTTTTCTAGGCTGGTTGAGTTTTTGTGGTGTTTTATGTGTTGAGTTTCTGCTAGAGTTTTATGTGTTGAGTTTATGTGTGATATAAAACAGTTGAGTGTCAAAAAAGTTTTGGTATCTTATAGTCTCTGATGATTTTATGTTATCAAAATAACATAACTTCATAATATCATATAAGACTACTAGTAGCATAGAGCCTAGAAAAGACGTTTTACCTATTTCCACCCCCCCCGACCAACAGAATCAACTCTTACAGGACCAAATTCAAATGCACAATCCCAACTCCTGATTGTATATAATACATTTTTGCTAAAGCAACGAGAACTCAAGTAGCTCAAGCTACCTTTCGTGATTTACAGTATTCCAAGATTTGGATGTTTTCCAAGAAAGCAGCGCAAAAAAAGGACTGTCAGTCTGGTGGACAGTGACCTTGTCACAAACAGATTGATACTGATTTTGCCACTCGGACCTCGGATCCTGCAACATCTTCAACCGCTGGTTCTTGAAGCAGAACAGGGTTTACCTCTCAGCACCTTGCTGAAACAAAGGACATAAGCGGAAAAACAAAAACGAACACTTAACCAACACACACACAGTGACTAAAAATATCAATGACTTGCCCATATACTTGCACCTTGCTCTTGGCTTTCCACCGGTCCCTACGGAAAGGGCGCCTTCCAAGGTCTCTGCCACCACGCCGCGCCTGTTCGGGCGGGGGCAATCCGACGAGGGTCATCGCAAACGACGGAATACTAAGGACCAAAATGCTTCCATCACCCTGAAGAGACTGCGTTTCTGTGCCAGCACTTTCAAAGGGGTCACCAATGGAAGCCCCTACACCACTAAGGGACCTCCATTGGACACCCCTTGAAGGTCCAGGTGTGTGTTGTTTTATTTGTTTGAAGAGCTTTCTTTTTGGCTGAGCCGTCTTTTTGGCGGTGTTTTTGTTTGCAGGAATTCATGGCAAACGGCAGCATGATTGCACAAAGCCGCACAAAAAATATGTTGTTCACAATTGACTCCAAGCCAAAGCATGTGAATGTGTGGTGTTCTTGCCATTCCAATTCATCAACAGTCCTCCAGGGCAGCTTTTTGATGTCTTGCACAAATGGCCAGTCACCATGTCTTCACCATGTCTTCACCATGTCTTCACCTTCCACCATGGGATACCCCGCCCCTCCACCATGCCGTCGGGGTGCCACCACCCGCGCGCTCCGCCCACTTCGCCCGTGCCGAAGGCCGGGCGAAGGGCCGAGCGCCGCCGCAGCGCGGTCAGGAAACGCTCCGAGAGCTCCGGAGCGGACGCCTCGGACCGCTGACGACGAAGGGAGGAAGACCCGAGTGGTCTGGTGGAGTCTGGTGGAGTCTGAGGAATCTGAACACCCTTGGACCAAAGACAGGGCACGTTGTGTAGGTTGTGTAGTACGAGGTGGAGCGTAGTTCTAGAGAGGTGTTTTTGGTTTGGCTGAATTTTGTTGGGAGTGTTGTATAAAGTGCGTTGGAGACCCAAGTTGAAAGACTATAAAGACATGTTCTTGGTGACGGAAAAGAAGTTTCCTTTCAGGTTCCTCAATAGATTATACATATATTATATATATACTTATCTTATCAATATCTGTTATAGTTATATCATATCGTATGACATCGTATGTATATTGATGGTCTTCCACACTCCCTTGGTTAATCCCAATGAATTACTACGTTAACAATTTTCCATCACATCTGTGTCCTTTCCATCCCTGGCCTGGAGCAAAGGCTTCTTCCGCTGCATGGCTTGCAGGTAGAGCTCTCCCACCGGCTTCCGCACACGCATCAAGGTGCCCGTGCTATCCTGGACAGCCAACCAACCGGGACAGCCGCCGGTCACAAAAAACAGAAACACTTTGACCTACGAAACCTGCTTTTCCCTGGAGCCACTATCCTTGCTAACCACTATCCTTGCCTTTTCGCTGTGGGATGGGTCAAAACCTGGAGCCCGACCAGTCCACCATGTAGTGAACGACCTTCCAGGTAGGTCAACCAAGTGCTTTGCCGCTTCGTTCTTGTGTCACACTTCGTGCAGCGCGGACATTCGGCTTCACGTAGCTAGAGGGGCATGAACCTTGTTTGTTTTTTTCTAGCGCCAAGCCAGGAGTTTGCCGGAGCGCGGCACAACAAGCGTTCACTTGTTCGGGTTTTAAAAACATTGACATTGTATGAGGTGGCACGAAGCTCGGGGAAAGGCATTTAGTCCTTTGCAATGTAATTTACTGTGTAAGCCCGTAGGCTGATGGGGCCCTTCTTTTCAGAGATTGATTGATTCTTGTTTTCCTCAAAATGGAGCTCGGTTCCTGGTGGCATTTTGGAGCATTCGTATGTCTTGGAGGCTTGGCTCTTGGGGCGGGCTGTGTCCGAGTCAATGGAACTGTGTCTTTCACCGCTTCAGCCAGTCCCCTCTCGGCCTCCCTGGCCTGTCGATATGCGTATCGTTTGCATCTGCTAATGTGACCTGTTCGCCTAATAGACTTATCTTCCGCCTCCGATGTCTGAGAGTTTTTGAACATACACTCCATGCGTGTTTTTCAACACCTGGTGTGTACAGATTGCATTCATTGTGGGGAGTTCACCCCGAATTTCAGGTAGATCATGTTACCAGACTCCCAGGTACCCACCCTAGGGCCTAAGGGTGAAGGGCCCAGGGTGGGTCAAAAGCGCAGGATCACATAGGGTCGGTCCACCGGTCGGTTTCCTGGTCTTGACCGCTGAATTCGCAGAAACGAACGAGGTTGCGAAACAAGCGAACGAACAAAGGTATCGAATATTATGCGTCAAGGCCAGGAACAACCACTGCAATATGAGGATGTATACAACGACTACATATGTATATGATGTGATTCTGAGGATGTGTTTTTGGTTGACTGCTGAACGAGGTCCTTTGAATTCCTATGACCGCCAGCTTAGTTGGAGGATGTGAAGACCAAGAAAAGGTCTCACAGAACCAGCAATCCTCACATCACAGTCACCGTCACCCCGGCTTCTCCAGAGTAATGAGCCGCGGCAACATGGCCTCCTGTAGTGCCTGAGCGTCACCCAAAAGCCGGATGGGGACTGATTGAGCTCTGCTGATTGCCTAACTGTCTGACTGCTTTGATTTGAAATCGGAATATCTAAAGTCTGGAGGCCACCGGTCGCATCCAACGAAGACTTGTCCGAGGTGGTCCAACCAGAATCGGAAGAAAACTGAGGAAGTCGGCAGAATCGGCACCCGCTAATAGATACCAATAGCATGTTCCTCAAAGCAGCGGTTATCAGCGGATTCGAAGCACACACACACCAACACATTCATGTGTGTGAGAACTTATTGATTATGTTTATTGTTCTAAGTAAGTCATAAGCACGATAGTATCCAGGGACGTATCCAGGGCTGCTTTTGTGAGGAGAACTGGAAAATCCATAACACTTACAGTACACCTTTCCCCTGCATATTCAAGAGACCTTGGGCTTTCCATGGCTTTCCAGTGCTGCCCTTTGAAGGTCACTACGATTTCAATCAATTTAGAGTCAACCTCCCCACCCGCAGCTCCTGAAGAAGCACTCCAACAACAAAGCACCTGGTCAAAGCGCCCATGGCGCTTAATAGATGCACATGACGGATTAAGAAATCCTGGAGCCGCAAGAGGAACCAGGAACTTGTTGTTGTTGTGGTTGTTGTCGTTGTCGTTGTTCTTCTTCTTCTTCTTGTTTTGAGAGGTGCTATGAGGGATCAACATATTTCCATCACAATTGACCCATCCGTGAGGAATCTATATGTCATACTGCAAAATTGCACACGTTTTCCGAGTCTCCCAACGGCGTAGAAACCTTGGCCATTGCCATGACTGCTTCTCCCAGCTGGGGAGGTTCAGGACCAGGTCTGGCAGGTCTAGGTGTCGTGTTTGTTTTTGTTGACGAAAAAGCCATCTGAGAGCCGAAGTATGCTGAAGTGTGTTTTCTTGCAGGAAAGCTGTTTATACGTGTGGATCGTGTGGGATGAGCACTTGCACCACCCACACGTGCACTGTGATGAAAGGCTTCCAGGGGCAAAGCAATGATCCACAGAAGTTGGCAAATGATACCAGGGGAAAGCAACACAGCAGCAGCTCTAGCCTCACCTGCAAAGCCATGTGCTTTCAATGTGCACGGCAAATGCTCTGAAATGCTCTGAATCAACATCAAACTGAACCCTACATGAATGCATCGACCCTGAGCAAAAGCAACCACATGATACCATACCTTGCACAAACGGCTGCCTTGATCCACGGACGCATGTGCTGCTCTCAATTTTGGCCTGCTTGGCCCCTTGGAATTCCGCGTCTCCACGTGCTTCAAGCAAGTGGGCTTGATCGCGCCGCCCCGACCGTGCAAACGGAGGAGACAGCGCGCTGATCTGTCTCAGACTTCATTGAGCATGTCCAAAGCAGACTGAAGATCTTTCAACCTGAGCCAAAATCCGGGCGAGTGCTACTCATCTCATGCCTCACCTATGACTTCATGATATGTCGTTTCCCCAGGTAAGGCCGTCGAATCCAGATGGCCGAATATGAAGGGGCTTGGACAAAAAAGGGACTCGTCCCAAAGGTGCTGCAGGTCAGAATTGAGACCACATTTGACCACCAACTGCAAAACCTTTGGAAACATTAGGAACAAGCTATGAACATCCGATGGAACGCTCGTCCGTGGCTCTCTATGCAGTGCTCTGCGATGCTCTGCGGCTCTGCCCTACGGTGATGGCCGGCGGTGCTCGTCCCACCACGAAGTCCGACCGTCATGAATGGGTCAAGGAACTCCTGTTCCCTCTGTGCCTTGCGCTCGGCAAAGGATTCGCTGGTGTCGATGCAATCAGGCTTGAGCTTCTCATAATAGACATTGGCCGCATCCAACTCCTTCTGGGTTCCTGACACGTGTGGCAGACGAGCTACCATCATGAATGAACACCCACGAACATCCAAGAACTACGAAAGCCAACTGAAGAAAAGCAACCAATTCGAACATGTCTGGTGGGACAATATCTCTATGTCTCAAACAAAGGACTCGCCCCCCTTCGCATTCAAATGTTTTTTTTTGTATTTTTTTGTTGTGTATCCATACCAGTGACTCTGCGCGGATCCCGAGCCTCTCAAAGCTACCTTTGAAGGAAAACACGCACACAGGCCGCACGCACACCAAAAATAAGATAAATAAGGACCACAGCTATCCAAACAGCTCTCCAAACCCACGTCAACTCGTGCTTTCCCCATGCCAAGAGAAGGCAGCCTGCGGCGACCGGTGCGGTACGACTCACTACTCAACTCACTCATCGACTGCTCAGACGTCTGCAGAACCCCCGGGCACGACGTGCTCCACCTTGCAGGTCGCCCTCCAGCATCGTCAATTCTTGGCTCTTCGTCCTAGAAGGGAAGAGGACGGAGGCCCGATTTCTTTTTTTCGCTCGAAGAACGCCGGACAGAGGTCCATGTATCCATATAGTTCAGAGGTGCTACATTTTGGTGGCCTGACATGTGCAAGCCAATCAGGCTGAAGCACCTTCCAAACTGCACCAATTAATATGTCTCAACTTGCAAACTCGCAGACTGTCTGATCTGTCTGCGCCCCTCAAATGGAAGAGGAATGAAGAGGATCCGCCATTGTTTTGTGGGGGGGGCCAAGGGGTTGGCAGGGCCAAGTAGAGGAAGGACTTGGTGAGTTCAAATTCCAACTTGATTTCAATTCCGTGCCAGCAGGTCTCGACTGTTCTTGAGTCTCGGATTTGGAGTTGGGTTTCAACTTGGTAAGTTTGTAGAGAGGATCTGCTTCGAGGCTGGTTGTAAGCTGTTGGACCTGTGCGCGTGTGTGAGTGCGAATCTAAGTGCAAACACACAGCAGGTCCGGCATACCATCGACGCTGACTTTCCGATGCGTGTGTAGAAAAAAAGGAACAGACTCTCCCACAGCCGGCCGCAAGTGGAGAGAAAACGAACATCATGGTGAACCCTGACTCTGCTGATCTTGTGCTGCCAAGGCTCTGCTTCTTGCTGGTCTTGTGCTCAGATGTCTTGGTCTTGGTGACCTTGTCCACCTGAGTCCGAAGCTGATTTCGGGAGAGAAGCGCGTGCGATTTCGGGAGAGATGCGTTCAATCCAATCCACCAGAATTCCACGATATTCCACGTATTTGAATACTTGGGGTATCATTGGGGTTGAAGGACGGCACCTTCATAACATAGTACAAGTTGCCATAGATCCAACAAGATCTCTCTCTCTCTCTCTCTCAGTGGTTCAAGCATTGGCCACCCGGCCCCTGGTTGGCTCGTCTCCCCACCCCCCATGGCCTTGGAATCGTCCATGAACTCGTCATACTCCTGGAAGGGACCGGAGGCTACGAGCCCGTCGCGCCCTGGCCCAGCGCTGGGGAGGCCCGCTTCAAAAGGAGAAAACCGTCCCATCGGGTTTCCCAAGGCTCGTCTGCGAATAATTCGACCAGCTCCTTTTTCAACCAGCTCGTTTCCTCACTCCATGACCAGTATTCCTTTCCATCACCAAATGGACAACATTGTACAACATAGTAACATAGGCCTATAATGAGCGCCTCGACCTCTACAATCTGATCATTTAGTTACTGTGAAGCCTTTGGTCCCTCCCTACCACTGCCCCGAGCCCATTCACTCAAAGCACACGCGTCCCCCCGCAAGCGACTCACGATCGTCGTCCGCTCTTCGCCGTCTCCTTGGCCGCCGCCGTCTCCGCCGCCTTGGTCTCCGTCTCCAACCGCGCGAAGTCGGTGGCAATGACCTGCAGTCGGCGCAGCGGCGTGAGGAGGGCGCCGGGGACCCGGCCAAGCCCTTCGGAGAAACGCCCGAGGATTGGCGGTGAGGAGGGAGGCAGGGAGGGTTATGGATGGTTAATGATGGTTCCATTTGCTCCAAAAGTGGTACATCTGCATTGATGAGGCGAGAGTCTCTGACCCGTTTTCGTGCCTCTTCTGGTGCCATTTTGTATTCCAGCTTGCTCTGTCCCATCCAAGTCCCACCTCCAGCATTGAAAGCACGCCGCTGTTCTCCATGCCCTTGTAAGGCTCATCTCCAAAGACCTCCGAAAAAAATACACGTGAAATCACGTGAACAACATCGAAAAATAAGAAAAATCGAGTCGAGGAGCTTCAGCTGGCAAGTCCGGACAGTTCGGAGACATGTCTTGAGACATGTGGAGACATGTCCTCAGGACATGTCGAGACCAGGGAGGTTGAAGAGGTTGAAGTCCAGAATCGTTTGGCTTAACCACAAATTGGATTTGGAACTTTCAAGAGGTCAACGTACACGGTTTCAATGCCGGCAAATAAACAACGCTGGGGCTCTTTAGGCAGCAAAAGCCTGGCCGGGAATCGCAACATGCCATGGCCAAGGGAAAAGGAGAGTGCCAACAGCGCCCCCCCAATATGACCCCAACACAGCCAACACATGGCAACACACAACCACCCAGCAACCGCCGCAGCAGCAACAGCCACAACAACAATAACTGTAACCAGCAGCGGCAGCGGCAGCAAGCAGAAGCTTCCAAGCAGCAGCAGAAGCAGCAGCAGGAGTAGCTAGCAAGCAGCAGCACCAGCTACCAAGCAGCAGCAGCAGCAGCAGTAGCAGCAGCAGCAGCTACCAAGCAGCAGCAGCATCAGCAGGAGCAGCAGCAGCATCAGCAGCAGCTACCAAGCAGCAGCAGCAGCAGCAGCAGCCAAGCAGCAGCAGCAGCAGCATCAACAGCAGCCAAGCAGCAGCAGCAGCCAAGCAGCAGCAGCAGCCAAGCAGCAGCAGCAGCAGCAGCAGCAGGAGCAGCTACCCAGCAGCAGCAGCAGCAGCAGCTACGAAGCAGCGGCAGCAGCAGCAGCTACGAAGCAGCAGCAGCAGCAACAGCAGCAGCTACCAAGCAGCAGCAGCTACCAAGCAGCAGCTATCAAGCAGCAGCAGCAGCAGCAGGAGCAGCTACCAAGCAGCAGCAGCATCAACAGCAGCTACCAAGCAGCAGCAGC